TGGCTGCTTAGTGCAGTAGTTGTTAAGACACAGCCTAGGTTGCCCATATCCCATAGCAGAGTACCCGGATTACAGCTTCAAGTATGCCCACTACCCCGCACCCCAGATACTTGCCACTGTGCACCCTGGGGGGTAGCAGGTGATGGTTCAGGTAGTTGGGTCCTAGCCACCTGTATTAGAGACCCCACTTGGACTCTATGCTCTTGGCTTTGGCCAAGCCCAATCTAAACTGCTGTTAGCATTTGGATGACAGTTGTCTTTGTCTTCTCCTCTTTCAAAAGCAGAAACAAAACAAAACACCCAGCCAGCAGGAAGGCTTTATTTCCCATTTTATTCATGATTCAGGTCCAGCAAGGTCAGTGCAAAAGAAGCAACTTGATTCCAAGCTTTCAAGCCTGTGTTCATTCTATTATGCCATCCAAACTGCTCGATAAAACTCCCCATTGTGGCTTCCTGATAGTAACTGAAGATAGATGTGGGAGCTAAAAGAATAAAGGAACGTGGGAATGGTAACTCCTTTCTCTCTGTTAGTCAAATCACTGATTAGCAGAGACAGGCTCTTCCTGGGTTCCCAGCCAGGATTCAGAGCAAGAAGCTGGGATTACCCACAGAAGATTTCCCATACAGTGTGTTTCATGGGAATGTTGGGTCCTATCAGTGTCTAGCTTAAAGAAACAATACCCAATTCTGGAATCTACCATATGAGATTCTGGTTTAACTGGTCTGCTATGGCCTGGATCCCAACATTCCTGGAGGTTGCCCAAGCAATCTCATGGGCACTATGGCTCAGATGCCTCATTTCTATCATCTTCTCTCTCCCTTTTCTCTGCCTGAGGAAGGTGAGGCAAAGGCAATGTGCCTTGCCCATGGTCACACTGCTATCAAGTAACAACTCAGACCCTAGTGTGGACTTGAGGGGTCAGTGCCACCCACCAAGCTGACAAAGTACAGGGCCACCACTGTTCTTCCTTTTCAAGGCTAACTGTTGGTGCTTTCCATGGGCGCAAACCGAGATGGTAAACTTAGAAGCGGGGGTTTGCAACTTCAGCCATCTGTGTCAACATCTGCTACTCTGCTTCTGGATCCCGCGCAGTACTGCGACAGTGGTGTCATCTGTCACAGTTGTGATCAGTTGACTTGTTCATGGCTGCTCTCCCCTCTACGCTCATCCACTTCAGGCTATGTCTTTCAAGAGTTTTGTCACTGCTGCTAAGGGCACTTGTGGCACTGGAGTCCCACCTGCTCGGTCCTTGCCAGATTTGGGCAACCAGGACAATGACATCCACTTTCACTGCCAGACGGCCTGCTCTGGGAGATTAGGAGCCACCTAGTCTTTGCTCACTGTAGTTCTCCCAGCAAATGACACCCAGGCATCCAGCACCAATGTGCTAAGGGTAGGGTTGCTCTCTGCATTGTCTTGGGAGCAGAACTCTGGTCCAATTCCTCTTTGCCTGGAACTTCCAGGGCACAGAGTGGAAAGCCAGCTCTAAGTCCTGCCCTGTCCAGAGCTTAGGAGTTCACTCAGGGTGGTTCTGGCTGCAACGGAAACCACCGTCTATCTCTGACTCGGGGTTAGCTTCTAGAAGGGTTCACTTCCATTGCATCCATGCTGTTTCTAACTCACATCTGTGTATACCGTGAGCAGCAGCATAATACATATAACCGTGTTGGCAAGTCAGTGAGGTCCGTGGACAGTGAGTGCAGGTTTCTCCAGCTACCTGCTTTATGTTCCAATTACTCTGTTTTTCTTCCCTAAAAAAGTGCAAAGTCTGAATCACAGAAATACAATACAAATGTTATTGTAATAGTATAAAAACAAGAAGTAACACACTAGAATAACCAAAAGTTGACCTGTATAACTACTGGAGAATTCTGATGGCAAGTTGACTCTAATTAGCACTCTCCTTCCCAGACACAGGCATGCCTCCTCCCAAGCCCTACCCTACCCCACACTTCACTGCAAGCCACGGCACAATCACTGACCAGCATGCCTTATCCAAACCTCCCGAGACCCACAGCACTTCCCACCCTGCCTGCCACCACTGCAATCTGACTGTGGCTCTAGTCAGGATAACAGATGACAGCCAAGCTCCTAACTGTCAAATCCAAACTGATGTTTCAGTCAACATCAGGGTTTCTCTGCAGTATTCCACATCACATATCCCTTCTTCCCAACATCTCATTCATTCATGGCACTGTACCGTCTTCTTGAACTGACCCAACTGTGCTTTGTCTCCTGTGTGTGCCCTCCCCCACCACCCATGCACACATCACCTCCAGGCTCCGCACTAACTTTCTGCTTCAGGAGCACAAAACCACATTCCTCTGGGCCACTAACTCCTCACCCTGTGGTGGCATGTGGCCTGTGTGATTCTTGTGTGACAACGCTGTGCTAAATGGCATACACAAATCAACTCGTTTACCCCTCACAATATCACAGAAACACACCTTTACCAGGGGAGCACGGTTACACCAGGAGCTAGAACAGGCTGCAGATGCAAAGTTCACACCCAGAGTTCCAACCCAACCACTGGGCACGCACACACCGCAGAGGTTGTCCATGGCTCACGTGTACAAGTGCTGAGTGTGTTTTCCATCTGGTGCCTCATTTGAATTTAAAGATTTTTATTTATTGGAAAAGCACAGTGACAGATGGAGAGAGAGGCAGAGACAGAGGGATCTCCCATCTGCTGGCTGGTTGACTCCTCAAATGGCTGCAACAGCCAGGGGTGGGCCAGGCCAAAGCCAGGAGCCGGAATCTGCATCCATGTATTGCACATGGGTGGCAGGGGCCCAAGCACACGGATCACCCTCACAGCTGTCTTTCCAGACACATTAGCAGAGCTGGGTTGGAAGCAGAACAACTGCACTTGACCTGGTGCTCCTCTGGGAAGGTGCTGGTTTATTACCCCACTGAGCTCCAATGCAGGGGGTGGGGGTGGGGGCTCTGGCATCTCTTAACTGCCTTTGTTTGCAGCTGAGGAGTGTGAGGCCGAGAAAGAGAATGTGACTTGCCCAAGGTCACACTCCTAAGGACAACAACTCAGATCCCAGTGTGCACTTACCAGCCTCCAGTTCACTGTAGCAACTGGCCAATGTACAGGGACTTTCTCATCACTCTTCTTCAGAAGCCCTACTAAATGATGTTGCTTAGAGACAGGTACACAAGAGTGACAACTGCAAACCCTCTTTACCCACTTCAAGCGACTTGTTCCACTCTCAGTGCCAGTCCCCCGGGCTCCCCCTGGCTCGGCTTGCTCACCTTCCTGACAAGGCGTCTTATGAGCTTTCTGAACTTCATGACAGAGAACCCCAGATCCCTCATAGCCAACCGTTAGTACCACCTGTTACTCCCTAGTGCTCAAATCCTACATGTCTAACCAGAGGTCGCTTTCCCACTAATGCTAACTTGGCTCCTTCTCCAGAGCTCATTTGATCTGACAGTGGCCTTCTTCCTCAGGCACTGTCCCAGCCTTAGGGCTGGGCAATCCCCCTTGCCTCAGTCTCCCCTGTACCACAGACACCTCAATTTAGAGTACATCCCCAGGCACAAGAACATACAACAGGAATGATGTTAACAAGAAGTGCAAGTCACACACTGAGATTACAGAAAATTAAGCATCCAAATAAACAGAGCCATTTTGTGTTGACAGATTAGAAGAGTCAATATTGTGAAGACAGCAATTTTTCCTGAGCTGATATGTGGATTCCAAATAATTCTTATCAATATCCCAATAGGTTTGATTTTTGCAAAAACTGACAAACAGACCTTGAAATTGATATAGAAATGCAAAGGACTCACAATTGGCAGAACAATCTGAAAAAAGATGAAGCTGGGAAAAGTATAGTTAGCTGATTTTAAAACTTAAAAGAACTCTTACCATGTACAAGTATGTTCAATTGACTTTTGCTATAAACATAGTAGGGGAGAACATTTTAACACATGGTGCTGAGACCATAGGAATTTACATACATTTACCTTATGCAATATGTAAAAATTCAAAATGGCTTACAGGCTCAACCTTAAGAGCTAGAACAATAAAACTTCCAAAATAAAACCTAACAGAAAATCTTTATGGACTTGATTAGGCTGAAAGATAGTATTAAAAGGAAAATCAATGTAACAACAGAGACATACACACACATATACACATAAGCACTTGATTACATTGACTTAATTAAAATTAAAAATTTGCACTTTAAAAGACACTATTAACCAGCATGGTTGCCTATTCTATTCTGTTCAATTTGCAAGGGGATGTAAGTGAACCACTGCCACCAACTTGCTTGGGTCCTTGGGTGAGGGTAGGAGCCACTGAGGGCTTTTGATGTAGGCAGAGCTATAGCCAAGGGCCTCCCCAGACCAGGCTGCTACACCGATAGGCATGCATAAGAGTTGGGGTAGGGGTGAGAAAGGTGGGAGGATGGGTTGGGTGGTGAAAGAGCCAGTGCTATGGTGTTCCTGGGCTAGGCTGTAGCATGGGCAAGCTGGAACTGGGACTGGGCTGGGCAGAAGTCCTGGAGAACCTGTGGACCAGGCCACTGTGCCTACTGTTGAAGTCTCCCCAATGGCTTTTGGTGTCAGCAAGCAGAACACTGTTTCATTTCCTGTTGGCTTCAGACACATCAGGATGTCCAGTCTCAGCGACCAGAATCCCTGAGTGTGTGGTATGAGACCACCTACTGCTGACTCCTGTGCAAAAAAGTCAACCATATCTCAGAGTACTGATGAAGATGCAGGGGCCATAGTCAATGGCACAGCTTCAGAGTGGAATCTACTAGAAAAATATAGAAACAGAATTTAAAGCCTGGTATGCACAAGCCCTATGTCACTAATCAGCAAGCAGTAACAATAGAAAATGGTAATAAATCTGCACACTTTAGCAACCCTGGGATTAAGAGTTGGCAGTGGAGGGGAGACTCTATCTTACTCTGTGTAAACCTGCTTTTCAAACAAAACGAAATAAAACAAAATAAAACAAAACACCTAACCATTTAAAAATGTATTTAAAAGGCAGAGCTGCAGGGAGAGGGAGGGACAAGGATCTTCATCAGCTGGTTCACTCCTCAGATGGCAACAAGGGCTAAAGCTGGGTCAAGTATGAAGTAGGAGTTAGGAGCTTCAACCAAGTCTCCTATAGGAGTAGCAGTTGGCCAGGCACCTGCTTCATCCTTTCCTGCCCTACCATACACACTGCAGGTGGTGTGACTGGGACGAGCCATGGGGGATGCTGGCATCACAGGCACCTGCTTGACCTGCTACACCCAAGTGCTAGTCCCCTAGACATTCCTACTGTCTTTTAGCCTCTCTCCCCTTCACGCACCACTCTCATGCAGAGATTTGCTTGCTGTGTCCTGTGAATAAATCATCTGGGGTTCCTAAAGTAATTCCTCCAACCAGTTTTGGGAAATTTAAAAACTTTATTAGGACCTTTGTCCACCTAGTCTTGCAGGTAGTTTACAGATTTCATCAGTTTCTAGAAAGTTGCAGAGCATTTCCTGTTGGACTTGTTTGACTGTTAGTTGTTCACTTTGCTTTCTGCATTTGCTTTCTTTAGATCTTCTTCTGTTGACAGTTCTTGTGAAATTGTAAACTTTCCTTCTCAATACAGCACACTGAATCTCTTGTTCTTCTGAGGCAGGGAGCTGTAATGCCTTTTTATCTCTCTGACATCATCTTCAACTTTTTTTTCTGGGTTGATTATGTGAGGCAACTTCTTGTTGGGTGCTTTCCCCTCATTAGCAGGTGAAACTAGCTTTTCCTTTTATGGGAGTCACTAGGTGTTTTTTAACTTGTTGATTTTCTGGAAACAAGCTGTAAGTTGACAGATGAAGCTGACAAATTTGATTTCTTGAAAACTTCAACTTGGATAGAAAATAATAAACTCCAAAAGGTGTACTGAGGAAAAAATTACATTTCTCACAACCAAAATAAGGGACATCTTTACGTAAATAATCTGGTTAAATGGCAAAAATTAAATAAATAAATACATGAGCAACCCTCATTGGGATTTCAGCTCCAATCTTGCGTTCTTTTCTCTTGGATGAATTTCATATTCATCTATTCTTGTTGGGTGACTGAATCAGGGTTTATTTACCTTGGGTAGCAGCCCTGTTCTCTTTGTGGTCTGGAGGTTTAGGGCTGCCTGAGCAGCTGCATGGGGGAGTGCTACAGAGGCCACTGTTGACTTTGGGTCTCTTGTCCTTGCTCTTCCATGTCTGCTTTGTTGCTGCCCTGTTCAGGCTAGCTGTGGTGATGAGGACTCCTGTGGCATGGTGCTCTGTAACCCTGACACACTTTTTGTCCCATAGGTTAGCTGAGCGTTCCTGCAGCCTTTTGGCACCTTGCATCCTTCCTCCCTTCACAGGGCTGGAACATGCAGGTGGAGACGAGAAGGTGATTGTGACAAAGGTTCCAGGAACTGTGAAATGGGTCAGTGTGAAAAACCAATATGAATTCATCAATTGAAATGACAGCAAGGAAGACATTTTTGTACATCAGCTGTAAAACACGATCTACTGTGTGATTCTACACATATCCAGAAAATAAAATATGGACAGCACATGGGTCGGTAGCTGCTGGCGGCTGCGAGTGCAAAGGGATCTGACAAGGAATGAGCAAAAACCATCTCTCTCTAAAGTGACAGAAACATTCTAAAATTGGTTGTGATAGCTTGTACAATTTTGAAATTTACTAAAGAATCATCAAAGTGTCAATTCCTTTGGTGAGGATATTTTGATAGATAAGTATACATCTTCTCAAAATTCGTTCAGGGGGAGAGGGGTGCACAGATGTGGATTCTAGTCCTATTACTATGCCAGCTGCAAAACTCAGGGAATTGCTTAACCTGTGTGCCTTAGTTTTCTCATCTGTAAACTGGACATTGTAGGAGTGTGTACTTTGTGAGGATTAAATGAACAGCACCAGATACATTCCAACCAATCAGTTAGCTGTTTTTCTTATTAGGGTTATACTCACATAATTGTCAAGACAATTTCACTTACTAGTAGTTAGTTCTCAAACACATTTTCTTCAAGACTTCTTCCCTGGCCTCACCGGTTGTTCCACCTTTTGCTAAAGCACTTGCCATGGTCTCCTGTCTTCTCAACTATTCCTAGAATTCTTTCTCATATCAGCCTCCGCAGCCTAGAGAAACCACACAGAAAATGGAAACAAAACCATGGCAGAATCCATCTACGGGATCAAATTCAGTTGCACACAAGACACTCGTGATCTGGTCTGTTTGGGGTCTTACACCCCTCACACCACACCCCATATATCCTAGTGGAAAATCTCTACACCCATATTTTTCACTTGTTTTGACATACTAGTTCTTTCAGTTTTAGCTGAGGGACCCTCCATGGGCTTCCCAGAATCCTTTGCACTGGGCTCATAATTTGCCTTTGTGTGCTTCCAACAACAGCCTGTGACTATCTGCAGCACTGAGCTGAGACACACTGATTACAAAACCTGCTGTGCATCCTGAAGCAGGAACTTAGCACAGTCCTGCTTCCCACCAGATGCTCAGGAAAATGCTGACTAAGCCAAATGCAGACAGTCAGCATTTTCTCAGGTCCTAAAATGTTCTTTGCCTCACAAGCATCTGAAATGTTTTTAAGGTCATCACTTAAAAGGAAATGAGAGACAGCGTTTGTGTATAGAAATGAGTATCTTAATAAGGTTTTATTTTGAAGAACTATTTTAAGCAGAAAAAGGACAGAGTGACGTCACCTACCCTTGAAGCCATTCAGAGTGCCTGTAACTGCCAGGAGCTCCTTGGCCAGCAACGGTTCATCTGTGCAACAGGATTTCTTCTAAGTTTCATGATGTCAATTTCTAGATCCTGAAACTCCTGATCTCTTCAGCAGTTTTGAGAAATATTACAGAGGGGACATGAAACAATTATCTTAATTCTTTGAAAGAGGTTAGTGATGCACCTTTTAAGATACTTGGGGAGGAATTACAATCACTCCACACCCAGGACCCTTTCACATGTTCCCATTTAAGTGGTCTGTCAGGGAACCTAAGCAGAGGAAAATCTGAAAGTTCATGACATCACTTTAAAGAACAGCTAGGTCAAGATCTACTCTCAGGAAGCCATCAATGAGTTTCCTTGCTTCTCATTTGTAACACAGTGGCAGTAAGTTTTATACACAACCAAAAACCCACCAGAAAGTAAATGCATGAATTCTTACAACTCAAATGGATTCCCTTTTCCAAGGATGACTACCTCGGATCATCTTAAGTCATTTTAAATTCATCCAATCAATGTCCATCAGTATTCCTATTAGACAATTAAAGGCCTCTGAAAGATAACTTAGAATAAATCTTCAAACCATAGTTTGAGTAAGATTAGGATGCATTAATTGTTAGTGTACATAACGGATACAATAAAGTGCATACTAAATCAAAGATATGATTCCAAAAGGCAACTAGAATAGCCCATTTCTGTAAGACTTAGGTTGGCTGTGAATAAGCTCTTGTAGACAGGGCATATTTTTCTCTAATCATGAAAGTGTAAAGAAAATAGTGGCTGGTGTTGTGGCAGCAGGCTAACCTCATGGGGACATTCGATCTCAGAGTGCCAGTTCAGGTCTTGGCGGCCTCACTTCCATCCCAGCTCCCTGTTAATATGCCTGGGAAGGCAGCAAAAGATGGTCCAAGTGCTTTGGCCTCTGCCACTTGGACAGAACTGGCTGGAGTTCCTGGCTCCTGACCCAGCCCAGGCTGATGTGGTAATCTGGTAATCACAACAGTGGATGAAATCTCTATCATTTTCCCCACCGACTTTCAAAAAAATTAATAAATAAGTGAAAAGAAAATTGGATCTCACCAAATTATTGCTTAGGTACAGTTTCTGTGCTTACATTACATTGGGATTAAATTTTCAAAAGTCCATGTAAAAGACACATGGAATATGATAAAATTTAATATTAGAATCTTCTTAAAGTAAAAAAATACAATCACATTCTATAAATAACTATTGTTATTCTTTAGAAAAATCCTATAGATTCTGTTTTCCTTCTTCCAAGAAACATTTTGCTGCTGATATTTTGATTTCTGAATTTTTAAAAGTTAATCTTTAAAAGAGCCATTCTTTAAAAAAAAAAACTTTAAAAAAACCACTTGGGAAGGGTGGGGAAATCCCAGACCTTATCGAATTGTACCATAAAATTAAATCTTAAAATGTAAAAAAACTTTGAAAAATATAAACACCTGTAAATGAGTGAAAATTTTAAAACCTGTTGAGACTCTGTACCTAGTTTCTATAATTTAAGTTAAACATATGCAGAAATTAAAACCCAAACGCTTTTTAAGCAAAACGCCAATGAATGCTGGCCAAATATTTACACCAAGTACATGCAGCTACAGAGAATTGTCTCTATGCCATGAAAATCTCTACCACCTATGGTTTTCATAAATATAATGATCCACTTTACCTATATTTTTCATCTTTTATCATTATTTTCTTACCTTTTACCAAAAATAAGTTTGATAGAATAAAACTGTATCCTGGCAAAATAATTTCAAATTAAAGCTTTCTACTTGAGAAATGAAGTTACATTTTATAATGGGAAGAACTGGAAATAACACCTTAAGTGCTAATAATAATAATGTTGCATTAAGTAAAAAAGAGGTGATGTGTTCCTAATTATAGTCTTACTGGAAATTAATAAGGACATAACACACAAGCATGACATACAGAGACCTAGTTATGCAGGTGAAGACTAGGCAACATCTACTCAATTATAAAAGAAGCACCAAGGATTCTAGATTTCTGTAATTCTTTAAAACACACATAAAGACACAAAACAAAATGCAATTATTACTTTTAGCATGTTAAAAACAATCACATCAAAAAAGTATACAGATAAAAAATGTAATAGATAACATAGGAAAATAGCACATGTATGTGTGTATATATATATATATATTTGGTATATATATATATAAAAATCTACAGTATTTACCACTGTTTATATATATATTTTTGGAGCAGCACAACTGCTGCCATCATAAACTAAATTGTACAACTTAATTTTATTACACATCACAGAATCAAAATTTTAAAAACTGGAAGTAACATCCTTAGCTACCTTTTTCTATACATTTATTTCTTAACTTCCACACTGTCTAAATCAAGAGCTCTGTTATTTTATCAGGATTTTGTTTAGCTTCAGTGTAGTGTTTTGCTTTAATACACTTGCATTTGTTCTGATATTTAATAACATTATTACTAAGTTGATTAAAATTACATTAGACTCATTATATACATAAAAATCACTGTCACATTCACTAACTAAACAAATATTACTTTCATTGTAAAGACATATTTTGTACCTTGAAAGCTTAAAGCCCCAGCTTGCAACAGGAAGAACCATCAACGTTAGATTTTCTAATTCTCCATTATTCAAATGTGAGCAAAGTAATGTTGAAAACAAGCTCTCTAATTAAACACAGAGTCGTATTTTGTGGGAATCCCCAAAACTCTGCCAGGATTTTGGTAACTGTAGTGTAAGGATATTCTTAAAAATATCCCTGCTTTCTGCACTCCATGAACCTGAATTTTTTTCACCAAAACAGAGGAAGTTTGAAATTACGAAAGTTATATATTTTTAAAGATCAAAGTTCTAGGCTCCTAATAATTAGAATTAAAAAAAAACAACAACACAATTTTATCATGGGTAAGTACAGTGATATCCAACTTCTTTAAACAGACTTCCAGAAAAGTATTCTGTACAGGCCACCCTTGAGGGGCCATTATGCTGAGGCCCTGCATGAATCTAAAGGGCATGATGACAAAGAACCATCTTCTTGAACCTGCTTTCAAATGACCCTCAAAGGCATGTCTGATGTCCTGGGTGAATGCTGGATTATCAGAAAATTACAACCTTTGGAGGCATTCTCTCCAGCTGTGTTTGTGTGCCTCAGGCAAGCAACAATCAGCTCCTGGCTTTGCAAGAGTCAGACCCCAACAAGGGGCACAAAAGTGCTAAGATGACCTCAGGTAAATGGATAATGCACCTCTGCATCTTTGTCCATAAATTTCATGTTAACTGCCTTGACGCTCAGCACCACAGTAAGTGGCTGTCCTCTCTCTCCAACATCTTTAGTTTTCAGGTTGAAAGTAAATGGCAGCAACTGAAAAAAGGATAAGCCTTCTCTGAGATACTCCACTAATCAAGTCAGTGTACTCTTTACAGTCACTTTAGGACATGAATTAAAGGGGGACTGGACTAAAAGACAATTTAAGGAAAAGAAGAATAACATGATTCCAGGGATCTAAATTTAAAATATTTTAAAAATCTTTCTTCAATTCCATGTTAAAACATGTATGCATAGATGTCTATAGCTATTAAAAGATGTTTTACTACTTATAGTTTACAAAACACCTACTCTAGTTTTTCACTGTTTTGTAACATTAGTCAAAACAGAACGGGCCAATCAGAGTAAAAATGTTCAGGTTCTGAAGGAAGACATGAAGTGAGTTGAATTATTACTGTGTGTGCATCCCTAAAAGCTATTGCTAGGTTTCCAGGTTCAGTGATGATGCAGTTTAAAACGCTCATCTTACGCACACCTACATGAGGATGAAAACAACTCTGTATACTTTCGTTACTAACATACATCAGAATTGTAAGAGTTGTTTACAATAGTATAAAATACTGCTTTGGCAATTATAAACATAGCAATGCAGATTTCATATGGTTTCTGTTCTCTTGTCTTGAGCAAACACAGATTCAGTGTCACAGCAATACTGATTCTTGAATAGAAAGCGCGTCCTGATTTCTGTAGTGATATGCTGGCGGCGTGGGCCCAGAATACTGATACCTGGATGGACTGGCATCTTGCACAGATGGTGAGGGTCTATACCTCACTGGACTGTCTACTGAAACTGGTGGGAGGTCATGGTCCTGAAAGGGTATGTGCTGAAAACTGCTTAAGTGGCTACGGTTGCCATCTCGAGTCCACGACTGCCCATGCAGCTCAGGTCTGTATGTGTAACTCACTTCTGACCATTTCCTGTTATCTGGCAAATAATCCACTGGAGGAATGATGAATTTTCCATTCCTTGGTGACCCTGAATTGCCTGAATATCCCCTGGCACCAGCATCAGCAGGAAGGACTTCTATGCGACTTGAGGGCAGTACAAGAGGGGTGGGGCGGCCATATGGCTTCTCAGGGGAAATACCAACTGAGAGAGTGGAACCATACAGTCTCCGGGAAGGGCTAATTTGAGACCCAGGGCTAAATGGTGGAGACACAAAACTGCTGTTAGCGGTAGGCATGTGTTTTGGAGAATTCCCATGGTAAACAGGGGGATTACTGTAAGATGGTGGGTGCGCCAGCCCGTGCTCCTCCAATTCTAACTGGGATGGGTACCTCACATAACTGGGAGGCTGGACTTTAAAAGTAAACCTGTTGGACACTTTTGAAGGACTAGAACTTGGCTCAGCATACTTTCTTGGGCTACTTGAGTAAACAGCATTCCGTGGGCTTTGAGAGTAAGCTCTTTCTAGAGCATCTTCCACAGCAGCTCCGTTCTCGTGTTCCGGTTCGGGGACATTGTCATACTGTGAGGCATTGGAGCCCCGTTTCCCATCATCGGCATCCAAAACCTTGACCTTCGGCCGCACATTTGAAGCTCGAACATCAGCAGCATTCGGGACAGAGGCTAGTGTAAGTGTGGGGTGCACAGGTCTACTGTTCCCTTCCATGGCCTGTTTGGCAGTTCTCTCAATAGCTGAAGTATCTGATGGTTTGTTCCATTTGGGCATAAATTCCTTCTTGACATTCGAAGTGGCATTACTATTCTGGTTGGCAGTTGCATGATTATAGTGCTTGGAACTGTCCTGTGGACCTGAAGGGAGTTTCCTTTGAAACTCTGCATCATCTTTAAGCTTTTTACTTTCCTCATCTATTGACTTCCGTCTCGGCTGCCTGCCTCTCTCTGGATGGTGAGGGGAATGCTCGTGCTTCTTGGAAGGCGATGCTGAACTTTCCCTTCTGCTGCTGACATGGGGACTGGGCCTGCCAACACTTCTCTGTCCATTGCTCATACGATGAATGGTGCCAGACTGGAATTCTGGAGGGAACTGCCCCAGGGGTTTCTTTGGATATTCATCCTCTTTACCTAAAGAGAAGAGAAATTCATTAAGGAATCAATCATATGAGTAAACGGATCCAATACAAGAAACCCATTATTAACAACTATATACTTGAGGCACACCAACAAACATGCATATGAGGTATCTCTAAAAAATTCACAGACTGTGAAAAAACTATGCATAGATTAAAACATTTTTGCACCAAAATAAATTTGCTTTTAATTTCAGTTTTTCCACAATTCTTGTTCAAGTACTTTTTACACCACAAACCTTTACACTACAGAATTTTGGAGCTGATGAGAAGTACTTTTAGAGATATTGATACTAAATCTCAACATTCCATCAGGCAATGTATAGGGGAAAACCTCATAGGTGAGGTTCATACTACGTTGACATATGCCTTACGTTTTGTGAAAGCAAACAGGTACAAACACATTCAATAATGCAAAACTGAGATTCTCCTAAGAATCTCTTAGAGATTATACCACATCTTCTGTGGTGTAAGTAGTTCTCACTTTAAACTACATCACCTAAAATGATTTTAAAATCTCAGTAAACCATTGCAGCAGTCTGCCAAATTTAAAGGTCAACTAATGACCAGCTGTGGTCTCAACGCTATCTCATAATCAGGTTATTACTATAATTATCTTAAATATCTCTCACAGTACAATTTTTGGATAAAAAGTGTTTCCCATCCAAAAGCTAGTATTATAAAAAGATCCTAATTTAACAAGTAAAAAGAAAAAAAATTTAAAAGACAATCATATTGGATAGTTTATATTTTATATAATAGAACATTCATGAGAATTTAGGGAAAAGTATAGTAAATTGGTCATTTAGTGAACAGAGTGTAAAAATTTATTTACTACAACACATATATCCAGGAAATATAATCTTGAAAAAAGGAACATATTTCACTTTAAAAATTGCATATGTTCTTCACCTGTTATTACAAAACAATATATTGTCACTTAAAAACAAGCTTTTGTTCTCTTCAAATATCCCATTTACCCACTGCTATGTCTTGGGCCCTGTGCTAAACAGCAGGAATGTTACTGACAAGCATAAAGACATGGTCTTTCTGCTCATGTAGTTCACAGTCTTGATGATGATAATTTTCTTACTTAGGCTCATACAATTTTCCTTAGGACATTTTGGAAAAAAAAATCAATGTTCTTTTGAGGGGGAAGAGAAGCAACAAACAATGATAAAGAAACACTGGCCTTTAAATAATTACATTACTGTCAGAATAACTGAGCTAAGAATAAACCTTCATACTGTTTCAATTCTGTGATATTAAAACTTGTCCAAATAAATCAGATTTTTTTTCAGGCCATGAAACCCCACAAAAGAAAGAAAACATAAACAAAGCTGTTCTGGTTCAAGCAGCAAGGCTCCTGGTTCCTCCTAGGCAAACCCTCTGCTCTTCCCTCAACTGGACAGTCCCTTGGAGCCCATGGACTCCGGAGAGACCTAGTCCTACCCGTAGTATACAACCTGTAGAACTCAATGGACACCCACCCAGTACAGCTACTCCCAGTTCTTTCTGTATTCCCTATTTTCATAAAACTTCAATGAAACTTCTGATTATTTTTGCATGAATTTGACTTGACTTTAATTATATCTAAACACACAGTTTACATATTTGAAGGCATATATGCGTCATATATTGAATTTGGCAATGACAGTTTCTTTTATTCATTTGTATCTGAAGGCATATATGTGTCATATATTAAATTTGGTGATGAGTTTCTTGTATTCATTCACTCATCCATTCAACAAAGCATACTGTAGCTATTAGGTGCTGGCAATACAAGGACAGAATGAGACAGGTGAAAGACATGTTCTTCCAGACCTCATATCCTGGTTGCATACTGGGTTATGCTGACAAGTGTGAAAAGCAATGGAAGCTATCATGGGGTGGAAGGTGCATTAGGCACAGAGGTGAAGGTGCCTCTTTGGGTGCCCACGTCCTACAGAAGAGTGCCTGCTTCGCTGACTTGAGTCCCTGCTTCGCTGACTTGAGTCCCTGCTCCACTTCCAGTCCAGCTACTCACTAATGTGTACTCTGGGAGGTAGAGGGGATGGATGGTACAGGTACTTGGGTCACTACCACCACAATGGAGGTTGAAATGGCTTAGCACTGCCTGTTGTAAGCACGAACTCCTAGATGGAAGATTCTGTGACTTTGCCTTTCAAATAAATAAATAAACAAACAAACAAACAAAAATATGACAAATAATGGAGGGTAGGGCAGGGCAGAGGACCAAAGATGATGATAAGGCCTTAGGATAGGCAGTCAAGTCATGCAGGGTCCGGGAGCTCATGGTGAGGATATGGGACTTTATTCTGAGTTAGCTGTACAGTAACAGGTTTTTCAGCAAGAGTTACCTGACCAGATGTTTGTCATGGAAAGGTCACTTTCAATAGTGGACTGGACCTCTAAGAGTGTAGTAATAAGGAATGGCGACAACTACACTGATGACTAACAGGAAAGCATTCGCTATACGTCTGCCTTTGCTGAAAAAGTTGCCCCAAGTAATGCTGGTGAGGAGTGTAATGTTGGTCAGTATTATTTCTCTTATTTCATTGATGAGAAAAGTAAAGCAGAAATTCACACGCTCATCAGCCTTGAGTTAACAAAGCAGTCCTAGAATTCACATCCAGAATTGATGATTCCACAGCTTTCCCTATCTACTCCTCTACCACACTGTGGCAGTAATAATAAGATTATTGCTTCATGGGGATATTTTTTTTTTTAAAGATTTATTTTTATTATTTTTTCATTGGAAAGGCGGATATACAGAGAGGAGAGACAGAGAGGAAGATCTTCCGTCCGATGATTCACTCCCCAAGTGAGCGCAACGGGCCGATACTATGCCGATCCGAAGCCAGGAGCCTCTTCCGGGTCTCCCACGCGGGTGCAGGGTCCCAAAGCTTTGGGCCGTCCTTGACTGCTTTCCCAGGCCACAGGCAGGGAGCTGGAAGGGAAGCGGGGCTGCCAGGACCAGAACCGGCGCCCATATGGGATCCCGGGCGTGCAAGGCGAGGACCTTTAACCACTTGCGCCACCGCGCCGGGCCCTCATGGGGATATTTTTAAAGTCTACACAGTACTCAGGGGGTTTCATATCATATGTCACAGTGAAGGCTGATTGCTGACTTTAAAACAAGCAAATATTATTCAATAAATTGTCCTTGTATTTTTTTATAACAGATATAATAATGTGAAAAAACTATTCTGATAACTCAAACTTTACAATGCTTGTCCATGAGAAGACAATTCCCATGCTAATGTATTTTTAATCAATAGAAAAGCAAGTTATAAACAATATGTGTAGTATAATCCCATGTATTATGATGATATATAGATATAAATATATGTGTGTCTACAAAGATGACTAGAAGGGGTAATCCTGGCAATGATTAACACAGAACAGGATGTGCTTTCGGTTTGCATGATCACTGTTTTTGCTTATCTATCACATACTTTGTCTACTACAAACATGCATTACTTGCTCATTTAAAAATACAAAATGTAAAAGGTAGAATTATATTAATCTGAAGCTCTAGTGTATAACTTACAACATTTTGTTTATTATTCAAAGAACTTTGTGAAAGGTTTTATTTCCACCTGAATATACTATATTACTAAATGAGCCATCTAGGCAAAAATGGTATTAATCAGGTATGGCAATCCCAAAATTGCAATGATTAACAATCAAGTTTTTGACTTTCTAAGCACTCAAAAATCCATTTTTCAACTAAACCATCTATTGATTTCTGCTTCAGATAAACTTCACAATTATTTATCTGATTTATATAATTCAACTTTCATCTCTTCTAAAAAGTCTATTTTTAAAAACCTATTTATTTATTTGAGAGAGTTACAGAGATGGGGAAGGCACGCATGCACACACACAGACCTTCCATTCAGTGGCTTCTCCCTCCCCCAACCAACATATTGCTCAACACCTGGAGCTAATCAAAGTGAGGACCAGAACTTCTTCCAGGTTCCTCACAGGCGTGACACGGCATCAAACACTTGACGTGTCTACTGGTGCTCCCCCAGGCCATTGGCAGGGAGCTGGGTCAGAAGTGGAGCAGTCAGGACATGGACTGAGACATGAGGCAGTGCCTATAATATGAGATGTTAGTCCTTCAGGTAGTGGTTTTACCTGCTACGCCACAATGCTGGCCCTCTATTTTTTTTTTATCTCCAACCTTCAAACATTCACTTAGTTTCATAATTTTTCAAATATAACTGACAATCACACTGATCTCATCTATAAATTCACTTAGTCAATGGAATGTCCTAGTACATATTTACTCAAAACAAATAGCTAGTCTTTTCACTTACAGCTTCATTTGGCTTCAAGTTTCTCTCATCAATATTTATTCAAATCTTCCCAATTCTAAACTTTTTTTCTTGCTGAAAACATGAAATACTATATATCTAGAACAGTGTTTGCATTCAAAATGAGAACAACGTGGGTCCCCTCAGTTCCTTGGTTATTCTGTTCCCAATAGAAAGAGCCACTTTCCTGGCTTTACTTAACTGCCAGGGCAGGGAAGAGACTGAAGGAGGTAGTAACAGAGAATTGGATAAAGGAACATGTAGTGGAAAAGATGAAAACAACAGCCACAACTTTAGAAGGGGGAAGAGGGGATGAAGAAGAAAGAAGACAAAGAAAAAGTTAAACATTTCTGGAGAAACACCACCTATTTAATATATTATCCCTCCAGTGTATCATTGTTCGATGTTCATTCAATATTCCTTTAAATGCATCAAAGATCTAACAACCACATGGTAAATTCTGTGCTATGGACATAAGTTTTGCATTTCTCAGGAGGAGAAATCTGAGAAGGAAGGGAATAATTGAGGTAGTCAATTCAGTTATAAAACAAAATGCAAAATATGTGCCATGTGCAATGGAGACTTAATTTTTAATAAATTATTTACCTTAAGTTTAAAATTGTATTGTAGTAACATCACATTACTTTCTAAAAATTAACATGCTGCATTA